AATCTGTGAGATATGTTATAGAAATTCGAAGATAATCCTTTTCTGATAATAATATGCTAGTATGTCAAAAATTATTGTATCGGGTCAATAACTCCTTTAGCCTCATATACCTAATGCAATGATTTTCGAACTACCGGCTGTCTTTATATCACATATTTCTGCAAATATGTAAGATACCTTAGCAAAATTTACTGGAAGTATAATATTGAATATACTTGTATTATAGTTTAATGCCAAAAATATGTGAAATTTGTTCACAAATAACGCAAACTATCATATACTACATATGTTGAATTTCTTTGTACTAACATATCGTATGCACCTGAAAGTATTTTCCTGGCTTTGATCCTATTAAGTTACAAGAGTATTAAATGTTTGGTTACACCCGAACTTAGCGCTTCCTTACTTGTTAAGTGTACAGTTTTGCCAGCACCTGAAGGAGTTTCCCAGGCTTTGCTTCTTGCAAGTTGCAAGAGTATAAAATGTTCGGTTACAACCGAATTTAGCCCTTCCTTAGTTATCAACACCGAAGGCATTTCTTCGGTTTTGATCCTTGCAAGTTGCAAGTTGAACTTATTTTAGTATGTATTCACTTATTAAAATATAAATGCTTATTTAAAATTGTATACTCTTCAGACATTTTCGGAAGCTCTGCAAAATACCCGTACGGCTGTAAGCGCTGGGAGCAAAATCTGTTGAATATGGTGGATGTTCAAGCAATTCGTGGAATTTTGTCATTGTTAAAACATCTTTCTGAGCAGGTGCATTGTCTTGATGAAAAATAATTTTTTTGGGCTGCAAACCAGGTCTTTTATCACGAATTTTTTAATCCAGCTGATCCAAAGGCTGCAATAATATTCAGAGTTAATTGTATTACCTTTCTGCGGATAATAAATTAACAAATTTAATTTTGCATTCCAAAAAACTGATGCCATAACCTTCTTTGCTGATCGTTGTGACTTCACCAGATTTGGAACTGGACAACCAGCTTTAGACTACTGTAAACGTTTTTGTTTTGATTTAGGATCAAGGTGTTATAGTTATAAAACGAGGCAAGAAATCGGTTTTATGCTGCTTAAAACGCTCCAAATTATGCTGAGAAATTTGTTTTCGATCCTGTTTTTGTTGAATTGTTAACAGCTTTTTCATATGTAAATCTTCATGTAAAATATGAAGTACTCGTTCGTCTGAGCATAAGCAATTTCACGCTTAGCCAAACTTGGATCTTCACTAACAATATTATGAACTTGCTTAATGATTTCTAGTGTGGTTTCGGTTTTTGGTTTTCAAGCCTAGTACGACCACGTTTAAATTCACCAGCCCAACATTCAACGGTGCGTTTCGAAGGTAAGGACTCCTTATACACTTCCAACAATTGTTCATAAATTTCCTTTGCTTTTAAACATTCCAAAACAAAAAAACTAATCACTGCGCGATATTCAATTTTTTCCATATTAAAAAAATAATCTGACACGTCAGCTTCAAATGGCTTGTAAACAAAAAATTAATTGACAGAATGACGTGTAATGCAAAGTAATGTTGCAGTTAGTAGTGCTATTTATTGGCAAGAATAGATGGATTGTGGGAAGATTCAAACTAAATCGTACTTGTGGAAAACATCAATCTAAATATTTATTGAAAAACTTTCGAAACAATGACATTTACGGTAGAGGTTAGTAGAGCCAGCATATTGTACTATCTTATAAATTTTTATATACTTGTATTAATCATGTATTTAAACATCAAAATATTTATATAGAATAATTTGCAGGCTTTAAGCCATTCATTATATAAGTACAAAGTACAGTCTGAAAATTTGGATTGTGGGAAGATTCAAACTAGATTGTACTTGAGAAAAACATAAATTTGAATATATATTGAAAGTTTTTCGGAATAACAATATTTTTCATAAACAAGAGTAAATAGGAAACTTCACATCATTATTTTGAAAAAATATGATATAATTATGTATATATGCAGGTTAATATTTTTAAATTCACCACTTAACACTGGATACATGGATTGCCGGTAGTTGTCTTCTCAACAGATTTCTAAGTTTTGATAGAAGGGAGGGATTGAACTTTATTGGATTGAACAAAGTTTAATAATGGACGTAACCTAAAAGGAGAATTAGAAAAAAAAAATCTTTAATTAAAGGAAAAAGTATGCGAAGGATATATTAGACAATTCTTATGAGATTTAGTTAGTCAATTGCGTTTTTCAATTTTTAATATTCATTTGAGAAGTTAAAATAAAATTAAAAAAAGGAAGAAAGTGCTAAGGACTTGCAAGGATCAAAACCGGAAAAATACCTTCAGGTGTTGGCAAAACTGTATTTAAAAAAATGTTGCGAAATAATTAAACTTCTATGGTTCGATGAAATCGTAAATAAATTACCATTAAATTTGGTATCTTCTTGACTTATATTGAGGCCACAAACTTCGCGTCAGTTAAAATTATATTGAAAACACCTTCAAATAAGATATATGTATGTGATATTAACATGAACGAAGAGGCTAAATTTAATATATTGAGTTAATGTGGAAAACATCAACCAAAGGATCGGAATTCATTATTTTAGGGATATGAGCTTTATACCAAAGTATAGACTTGTCCATTTAATTTCATTAAAATATCACATAATTTGACCAATCTCATTTTATGGGATATATTGGAGAAACAGAAAGGCACAGGCTGATTATGTTAATTTTGACATTGCTCAGGTACACTCAAGAATATATTGTAAAGTAATTTTATTTATATATAAATAATATTCATTGACCGACATATCCAGCATAAAACTTGGTAGAATAAAATATTTATAAGTAGTGAATACATGGGAGTTGGGGTACTGACCCTATTTTATCAATTTTTGCTACATACAATACTACATACTACTAACATGCCACAGACTAATAAAATGCTCCCAGGGTTTCATTAAGTTACCTCACATAACATCACCAAGCATATGGAGTATAATTAGCTGGATGTTCGAATCCTGATATTAGTTATATGGGGGCTAGTCAAGTTTTCGCCCCATTTTATCCATTTTAGGAGGATATATGCGATATAAAGTAACCCGGAAGTTTAAAAACCATTATATTAGGTATATGAGGGCTAAGAAAAGTTGGCGTTTTGTGGGTGTGGCAGTGATTTCATTACGCCCATCTACAATACCAAATTTCTTATGGTGCCAAGAAATAAGTGTACTAATTTTCATCAAGATATCTTAATTTTTGCTGAAGTTATCGCCTCGTCATCCTGATCATTTATATATATAATATATAGGAGCATATCTATCTCGATTAGTTTTAGGTGATACAAACAACCGTTGGGTGAACCAAACTATTATACTCTGTAGCAACATGTTGCAAGAGTAATAAAAGTTGGATAGTACTTTTTCAGTCATAACATTTTTGAATAGTTTTACAGATGCTGTGTGTACATATATATTTACACGAAAAATTTCAAAAATATTTAAGTATTTTTATAGTGGAAGCAGTTTATCTTGTTTACTCTAACCAAAGTCGGTCTCTACGAAATCAGTCAATACGTACTTCTAATTCTACTAACTAGTTATTCAGTTCCAATATTCGGCGACTCCCGAATTTAGCTTTATCTAGCAGAGCATATTTTCATTTCTTTCAATATTTCTTTAAAATATTCTTAAATTCAAAACCGAGTGAATGATAAAGGTCAAATAAAAGACACATGCTTATCGACCCCCAGTTATGTCCTAGAAACATTAAGCCAGCTACTAAATTATTAAGCGCTCCAAACGAGTAGTTGAGTTTGGATATCGATTTTAAATGGGTCATGAATAGCTGATTATATTATATTTGAGTAAGCAAACCTATATTTAATTACTACGATTAACATAAGGTTGGCATTAACAACTCTATGTGTATATGAAAGCTCAAAGCTCCGAAGCGTGATGCTTTCGAACTTTTTATTGTTACCTTACAATCAGTTTTTACCTTGATTGTAATAGCTGTCGTATTGAGAATTATATGCGGGCATAGTAGCATATTTATTGGATCCATAATTTGTTGCCAATGGTTTTTTATATTGTATGGAGTAATTATTCGTGCAATTGTTGTATGTGTTAACTCGTCGTCCTAATTATACATATGTGTAAGAGTATATATATATATTTAAATAAATTTGCAATTGTACACGTGAAGGCACATGTTGTTAATGGTGGTGGTGGTTTCAAATAGGGCAAAATTGGAATTATTTACTATGAACACATCGATGACCAGCAAGAATTATGTATATTTCAGATTTTTTTCAATTGTGTAAAAAACCATTGTTATAAAATTAATAGTGACGTTAGTAATGAGTGATTTTAAGATTAGAAAATTGTCTTTTTGAAAAAATTTGTTAGTCGGCTTTCAGATTTTAATTGACCAAAAAAATGTTGAATTAAATTCTTTTGGTTAATGGGTGAGTTTTTAATAAATTTGCTACGCAGTGTTAATGCATTTCGTATTCATATTAAAGAAATTTCGTAGAAACAATTTCTGCACGCGATTATAGCTTCGAACAAATCATAATTTTAGCCATTTATTTGAAAATCCAGTTATAAAACTGGATAATTTTAGAAATTCTAACGCTTACATTTAATAGATACTTTGCACAAAAAATATCAAAAATAAAGTATCCGAAGTAATACTCTAAATAGCTGAACTATGTACACGGTTCTGTACCAACAAGGTAATCAAATTTTCTGTTATTGCACGAAAATTTCAATTTCTAACAATTTTTCTATTTCCGTATGTAACAAATATTAAAATGAGATCACTTTTGTGTGTCGTTTTTATGTACAACATTTGCAATTTAGTTTGTCTGATATTAAGCACTCTATAATTCCAATCGAAGAAAAGTTGTTAGCAAAATTTTATAAACTTGGTGACTGTATTCATGTTAAATCCATTCCATATCACCTGAACAATAATCGTCCTCGTCGTCGTAATATTGATAATCTTTAGTACCCTTACCTTGTTGACCGATATTTGTGCGCGGCAACGTAGCATACGAATTGACAGCCGGCCTTTGCGGCGGATACGCAACTGGAGACTTCGGGGCAGCGACTGGACCAGCTCCAAATGGCCTAGTATAGCCCTGATTAACCTATAAAAAATAATTTATTAAGCATTCATGTGAGGAGTTGGCTAAAAGATAAATCCATGTTTAAACTTTTTATTAATTATTTGGGGTAGGATAGACTCATATTCACAAATAATAAGATGGTTAAAAAGCAACAACGAAAGGAGCTCTAAACCAAGCCTTGCAAATGCCTACAAATGCTCTGAGCACGTGATGAACTAAAAGACTTACCTTATAATTGATGTTTACACCCTTACCAGGTGGCACAACACTGCGGATTATACTGCCAGTTAAGGTAACGTATTCACCAAATGGCTGGTCATTCGACGTAGTGTCCAGTGCTAATGATGGATTCGCCAGCATTTCTGATGTGAAATTTGTACCTTTGTTGTGAATAGTTTGAGTTGTTGTAGTAGTTTCTCTATTATTGTTGCTTAAATTGCTGTTGTTGATAGTATTCAAGAGCGTCGAGTCAGTGATTGCTGAACTAATTGAAGTACTTGCTTTAGCGGTGGAAAAAGAATCCGGTGTACTTGGCGGAGGTTGCTCTAAAGTTGCTGCTGGTTTTGCAACCTGCTGACATGAATTAAATTTCAAGTGGTTAGCGAATGTGGGCGATAGAGCAGCAACGACCGAATTTTCTGGGGATTGTGTTTTTGTTGAACCAACTGTAGTGGAACCATAGGATTGAAGTGAATGTGGTGCAGATTGTGCTGGTGCCTGTGTCGTTTGTTTGCTGGGACTGTGGTATGTATTGATAAGATTGTTTTTTTTATAACTATTAGCATTGATGTTTGGGGATAGGACATCATTCCTTATATTGGTATTTGAGAGAGTGTTGTTGTTGTTCTGTTTGTTTAGAGTGAGCAACTTGTTGGAGTACTCTTTCAAAAACTTGCTATAAATTCCACCTGACAGAGAATATTTACCACCGCCAGTCTGCCCAACTGAGCTATCATGACTAATACCCCCAAGACCGACCCCGCCAACTCCGCTGTCAAACTGATTTTGAGAGTTCATGTCATATTCGTTTTGTTGTTGCACTTTCTGTTGGCGCAGATTTACTTGGCAAGATGAAGGAAGTGGTGGAGGTGGTGGGGGTGTGGTTGCAATCAGTATAGTCGCATTATTATCTGTTTTGATGCCACATATTAAAGAAGGTGATGAGAAAGCTTGACACGAGTTGATAGTTCCTTCCATCATATCCTCAATTTGTGACAGATGACCTGCGGTTGAGGCGGACAAACTATTCGAAGTAGTTATTTCAGATCCATTATCCATTCCTAATGGTAATGGCAAGTCAATATTATTCGCTTGTATTTCTTTAATGCCATCGTGAGATTCGGCCGTCTGTGTGCGTTGTTTATTTTTACCAATAGCGGCGTGGAAGCAATGTTAGTTGATTAGTAAGCATATGGCAACCAACAGGATAAAATATGCAAAATGCAAATCAAACAAATTAAAACACAAATTCGAATTACTTAATTGCTTTTTAGGATATGATACGTAAATTTAATATATATATATGGTTTTTTCCTTAAATTACTTAGTGAAAAAAATGTATACCTCTTACAGTGATGCCCATTGATGAAAATATACTACTTTACTACTGACCCTCCTTAAAAATTTTGAATTCAAGTTAAGTAAAAGACTTCTTCTAAATCTATTTAAAAATATATTGTAGTTAATTTGCAACAGCAGAATATTAGTGCGTTAGGAAAATTAATAATTTCAGAAGAAATCCCGTCAGAAATTTAAACCTTCCTATGCAATGAAAGTTGTTTGAAAATAAGAACAAATAAAGAAGTCCATAAGATTATCTTTGATTTGAGCTGGAAGCTTTTATCCAGCACAACTGAGATTAGGTGTACTTTACGTGTACTACGTATTTGAATATTCTGTGTTAAATATTTAAAAATTTACATTCTGATGTAAGACTATGTCGAAAGCTCCAGTTATAAATATAGATAAAAAGAAATGAGTTTAACAGAATGGCTGGAGTTTTCGAATAATGGTATAGTCGTACATCTTTATAACTTTTCTCAATGCTCGATTTTCCAAATTTTATTTACTAACCGAAAGATTTTGGGTATTTGGATAAGTTTAAAATAAATCATTTTTGTTTATCGTCCCCATCTTTTTTATAGTTTTATTAAGGAAATACGAGTATGTCTTTGCTAACAATATAGTAAAATCCGATTTAGATTTGTTCTAGCATATGCTATTTTTGGCTGAGTATGCAGTAGTAAGTAAAATCTTCGGTATACACTAAACTTTTGAAAAAATATTTTAAGTATTTTTGAACTTTAAGGAATAACTTTGTGTGAGCGCATCTTTCTCGTACTTTTAGGAATTAAAGACGGGTGAACTATTTCGAGACTTTTGCCAAACTCTTTTTATTAAACATTTGTTATTAAGATATCGACTTACTAGCGAAATATTATCGATCAATCATTTTAAGATAAGATCAACCACAGGGGTAGAAATAATTATACGGGAAATGACGTAATATTGATGCCTTTCAAATAATGTTCTAATCAAAGTCGGTCAAGCAGTTCATGAGGTATGAAATTTAGCAATTTTGTCTTTAAGCAATTTAAAGTTAATAAAATAAAATTTTCGAATATTATTACTCGATATTCAGGCGAAATACAATGTCACTATCAAGTTTGGTCACAGTTTAAGAGATATGGGCACTAAACCCCCTAAGTGACGGATCCATCTCGTGTATAGTTGCAGACTACTACAGGAGGAATTATCAAATTTTCACAAGTTAGTTTACTGATTTTAGCATTTTGGTGAAGGTAATTTTGAAACCTTTTACGTTGTTAATAAATTTGATTATTATTTTGGATACGTCCCAGCTCTTTTCTTCACAAGATATAGATACTCTGAAGTTTTAATATTAATATAATATAGGTATTAATGTATATATATATATATATGTATATATATTATAAATTATATATTATGAATTCCTTTTTTATTCATTTTGAGTTAAGGTTACGAAGTTAGGCATGGGGCGGAGACGCTTCAATAGTCTTCTTCATATAAAAATCAGTTAGTGGCATGAAGCAGTAGTCCAAAAGTTGCGCACAGTATAAATTAATCATTTTTTGTTCGTAATAGTCGTGGTGTTATGTAATGCATTTCTACAGCTCTCTGAAAATGTATCTATGGTTGCTACTTATTACCGCACTTGCCCAAAAATCGTTGATTTACGTTTGAAGAGAATAAGAAAATAATTGTCGCGATTAGAAGTAATTTAAATCGTTAGCGTTTGAAGGAAAAATTGACTGCGATTATTGATTGTTTTCTCGGCAGCAGTCCGTAGGAGTGCGAACCACCATTCGGACGAGTTGTATAAAAGCAAACTAAAAGTTCGCCAATTGTATCGAAATACTTCCAACTGACAGTTCACGATTTAATTGTCACTACTCGTAAGTGACAACGAAAGCACAAAGTACAAAGACGGCATAATGAGTATATTACATGAAGGGCGCCGAAACTTAAAACTATTTTTGCTTTGCTGACACAAAAACATTCTTCACTGGCTATTTCCTCTTCTTAACCGAAATGTTTATTTTTAAATGTCAGGAAATCGTATGAGGTATCTCTGATTATTACAGTATGGGTACGTATTTACATACACGTACACATTCATGGTCAAGTAGGTCATAAGTTGATAATTATATTAATTGACTGGAATGTTCGTGAGTCAATCCTGGTCTATCTCAGCTTTTAAACAACTAGTTTTTATCAACATTAAAAATAAATCGAAAGATCTCTATACTTTATTAAAATAAATTTTAATTAATTAAATTGATTAAAATCTAAAGTCTATTTGTAAATAAAAACTGATAAATATTATTAATGCAACTAGACTAAAAAATTCTGTTCGTGTTAGGTTTACTTTATATGGAGGAGGACTATAGAGTCTCTGCATAGTATGAATAACCCCAACGACCAAGTTATCTTAAGAATTTACGATTACATATATGAGAAAAACAGTTTTAAAATTATATGCAGACTATTAGGGTATTATGCATTGTACTATTGTTAAATCTCTAAATAACGCCTCCTAATTTATGTATTCTCAGATCTCCAAGCTCCTCCCTTATGTGTATTAAAAAGCGCTTATGTGCATACTCTTCGTGAATTTGCATGTACCTTTTCACTTGGCTCACTAGATAATAGACTATTCGGTATTTAGTGTGGAAGAGAGGAATAAGATCGTTGTGTTTCCCTTATGTGAATTTCTTCGATTTTTGTATTTTTAGAAATTTAAATTTAGCGCTTCAATATAACCAGATGCCAACCGAAACGAAGTCAGTGAGCCATTAAAAACTATTTACACTCAATTTAATTAATGGCTTACCACTTTGTTATATGAGTATACATACATAGTGCACTTGTTTGCTGATTATGTAATTCAAATCGCACAATACTGTCTCATGTCTTACCATCGTTACATTCACGTGTACTTACTAGATTTACCTACATAGATATCTACAAAAACATTTAAAGAAAATGAATATTCCAAAAAAATTAAATGAATATGATTCACCTATAACGTATCAAAATCGAAACTCGGTCATGCAAAAGTCCAAGCGAAAAAGAAAAATATAAAATAACGAACACTTACAGAAATATATACATACTACTTATATATGTCCCAAAGTATACGCAATGGGCTACCCACCAAAACGATAGTATTTAAAGCTTAAGCGGTCATTTTATTTCACAGTGTTAGTTAGCTTTTTGGCAATTTTGGAGTTTATAAATTATATTCATATGCAGGAAACTAAGTTTATTTAAAATGAAAGCGGGAAATAATTTTATTGCACCGTTTATATGTATAGGAAATAAAATCTAACACTTAGAGAAGATAAGTTGTACCTCGCTCGTTTTCAATACTTGTTTTGGTGTGGTTGTATGTATGTACTCGTATGTGTTAGCGCGTATTAGCAATCACGACAAAAATGAACAGCCAGAAATAATGTATTTACTTAGTATATGCTTACCGGAGCAATAGGTGGGGCAACACTTCCTCCATTAGTCACAGGGACGTCGCTAAAACCGTGAGCATTTAGGGCTGACGAGATGGTGTTGGCACTTAACTTTGTGTTTCTGAAAAAGTAGATTGTTCAAAGGCATTCATTCAGTTAATTAACCAATCCAATAAAGAATTATGTATGTATGTAACTATTAGCTAATGATTCATAAGTTTCGCCGCAGGTTCTTTATTTTAAATTGCATGATCAAATGTGTTCGGCGATGTTTATTGAACAAATATGTTCACGAGTCTCGGAGATGAGCGTTTTCTGATAGTTATCTTCGAAGTAAACGTGATCCGTACATGACTGTTTTCGACCATAAAATAGTGTAGGGTTTGTGAACAGAACGAAACAGTATGTATATTTCCTCTTAAGAAAAAATAATTAATGGAGTTGATGAACATACATACATATGTGAGAAAAATCCCCCAATGTAATGCACAATACAATGACATTAACTCAAATTAAGAGAAATAGAGCTTACAATGTAACAGTAATAGGAGAAATTTCATATACAAATTTTTACATATTTATAACACACATACATACTTAGGAGAGGAAATAATAAAAATATCATTACAAAATATTACTTGCAATATAATAAAAATAACAAGTAAGAAAGTATAAATTCGGGTGTATTCGCACATTTCAAACTCTTGCAACTTGCAAGTACCAAAGCCGGGGAAATACCTTCAGGTATCGGCAAAACCTTATATTAAAAAATGTTCGAAAGAATTGAACATTTATTATTCGACAAAATCGTGAATGAATTACAATCAAATTTGGTACTTTATTAAGTTATAATATAAGTCATAGACTCAATTAGTTTTATAACTATTTTATTTCTTGTCAGCAAAAATTATATTAAAATGATCCTCAAAGGAGATATATCTAACACAAACATAACCGAAGAGGCTAAATTTAAGATCCTAATAGGGATATGACATTAAGACCAAGGTGTAGACCAACTCCATTTTTATTCAGCGATAAACCACTAATATAATAAGGTTTGTAAGAATAACGGAAATTAAAATGTAGTATAATATAATTTCACATATTTTCGGCATTAAACTAAAGTATATCCAATATTATACATTCAGTTAATTTTGCTAAGGTATCTTACATACTGACCGATATATACGATAGAAGGCCAACCGGAACATTGAAAATCTTTTATTAGGTATATGGAGATAGGAGTAGCATTACTACATATTATTAACAGAAACAGATGCTCTCTGAGTTTTATTAAGGTACCTTAGATACTATTAACAATTTATAAGGAATAAAATCAACAGAATGTTTGAAAAGTGTTATCCATTTTTGGCGCAGAGATGCACAGTTAGGAGAAAAACACTCTCATTCAATTTAATTATAATAACTCACTTATTGGCCGAAATATGGGGTATTAAGTCAGCCGGAAGTTCGAAAAGCTTTATATTAGGTATATGGGGACTAAGGACTTTAAGCCCCCTATTCGACCAAAGTTTTATCCTGACACATTGATTGCTGCTTGATTAGTATACTTGAAAGTGAAAGAATCAGATGGATTTTTAAATTGTGTTATATGGGAAGAAGGCGTGGCACTGGAACATAGGAATTTCAATGTAATATTACCTGAGATATGGGTTTTCACCTAAATGTGGACGGTGCCAAGCCCATCGTCTTAGTTTGACCCCGGCTCCTATAAAGCTCTTTCGTGCCGTCTCGGGTTAATATCTCTGATGTATAAATTTATGGATTTATCGCGCTTTTAGTAGTTTTTAACAGAACCGGTATATGGGAAGTGGGCGGGGTTATCATCCGATCTCATCCACTTTTACAGAGTCGGTAGGCGTGCTTAAGGGTCCTGAATTTGGATATTGTATCTTAAGTGGTTTAGGAGATATGTACTTTAAACCTCTTAGAGGTCGGAGCCACGCCTATTTTTTAATCTTTTTAGACCACAGTTGGTCCTTGCTACTACGAGTCATTGTGCCAAATTGCAGTCTTAATTTAGTACTTAGTTATGGCACTTTATAGGTTTGGGATTAATGTTCCTCCCTTATTTTCCAAGGAACACGAGTACCAAGTTTCAGTACGATACCCCAATTTATTCAAGTTACAGCTTGCATGGACGGATGGACAGACGGACAAACAGACAGTCACTCGGATTTCAACTCGTCACGTTATCCTGATCATTTAAATATATGTATAATATATAACTCCATAGCTATCTCGATTAGTTTTAGGTTATACAAACAACCGTTAGGTGATCAAAACTATTATACTCTGTAGCAACATGTTGCAAGAATATAAACATTTTTTCCTGAGATCACTTATTTCTATCACTATTACTATGAAGTAACCGCCAATGGCCCATATCTATTTTGTTATACGTATAACGGATATATTTTAAGGTGAAGAAAACGTGAGAATTCTATTTAGAAAGACTGATTGCCATTTCACATATTTCATAAGCCTAAATGGAGTATTGCTGAAATTTGTAAACATTTTTTGAAAATTACAAGATGAGTAATTAGTTTGTAAATAAATAATTTTATTCTTATGAAAATAACTTCTATTTCATTAAGTTTTTTATTCCTATTTTATTATTTTAGTTTTCGATATAATATTTACTAAACAAAAAATAAAAAAATATGTAAACATATATCTCATAAATGTGCTGAATCAAATGTAATTAAATTTCATTTATATTTCAGTGTATGGTTCGATCCGTCAACGCTTAATTTCTACCTAGTATATATTAGATACCTCTATGTTCAACCTTGTCTTCTTTTATTAATCTCTATCGATATATACTTTAATAACAATATTTCGGCAGCCAAACATAATGAATTATTTGTGGCCTATGACCGAAAAGTAAAAATATTTATAATACTACAGAAGTTGCTTATATTACAATCGAAAGCGAACACTAACAATTGAGTTTTACGAATCAACTTTAAATACTTACGGCTTTATTGGTACAGGAACATATCCATCAGTGCCAGATGGTGGGTTCTGAAGAGCCGCGAGCTTAGCATGAATATCGCAGTAGAGTTTGTTATTGTAGTTGTAATACCCTTGATTCTTTAAGGAAGTTCCACAGGTAGCACATTTAAAGCACTCGACGTGCAAATTCTTATCCTTGATTCGCACAAACACACCCCTTCGTAAAAGGAACAAAAATCACATAAATCGTATTAGGTATTTTACATTATTTAAGGCTAAGTCTACGAATATCAGCAAAATCTCAATTGAACGTAAGACAATAAAAAAAGAGTTGGAAAAGAAAAAGTTTATGACATTAGTTGATTTAAAAAGTATAATTAATTGCTAAGCATAATATTTATGGTTGTAGTTCTTCAGAGTTCGACATAAATACATATTATGATTGAAGAATAACTAGAAAACCTAAAACCTGAATTTCATTGTTGGACTCTGTGGCAACAGCTTGGAACTCGGTAAATAATAACAAAGTTTAAGCAGAACATGTCCAATTAAATGATTTTGAACAAACTATTTTGACACTCTGAACAGGGTATATTAAGTTAGCCACGATGTTTGTAACAACCAGTAGAAACGTCAGAGACCCTATAAAGTATATACACATATAAATGATCAGCGTGACGAGCTAAGTCAATTTAGCCTGTCCATCCGTCTGTCTATATATATTCTAACTAGTCCCTTAGTCCTTTTTTCACCAAGAAACTGTTAATTTTTCAGAACGGCCGATTTTAGACCACTATATCATATAGCCATCATACAAACTGAACGATCGGAATAAATTGCTTCACCAAATTTAGCATTGGTTATTGTCTCCTAAGAAATTATTTAGATCGAGTCTCTATAGCATAAAGCTGCCATATAAACTGACCGAACAAAGTTCTTAAATCTTTTGTATTTTTTATGGGTATTATAGCTTCGCTGCAACCTAAGTAAACATTTTTTCTTGTTTTTTTTATTTTGATTTCTTTGATTACAAATATTAAGTAAAGTTATTATATTTGTCAATCTTATGGGGCAAATCATCAACAAGTATTTTAAATATGTTTAAAAAATCGAAATATTATCAGGTTTGATAAGTTGGTTCCCTTTAATCCCACAGCTTTTATGACCTAAAATTTTAAAAACTACCTCCACTTGACTAATATGTAAAATATTATGTTATACCACAATGACATGTTATGCTTAAATTGTTTAGAATTGCACGAAGTTTTGAGTGCCACGCAAAAACGCGATTTTTGATTGTGTGAGACGGTTTTGACTACAGTAAATCTATACATATAAATTGAGTCATATACACTGCTTAATTTAAACATTTAAGTTTAATCGCTTACTTACTCATTTTTTATGTTTGCAAATAACTACTATGTTATTCTATTCATACAAATGTAAAATAACACACAGTTATGCCAGGATGAATTAAACATAAAAAATTTAGACAATATCTAGTAATCTAATAAACGATTAATACAAATATGAATAATATTAAAAAAACATTTGCAGCCTATAATTACAACGCATTCAATTTATGCAAATACATATATCTACAAATGTAACCAAAATTTACGCGATTATACACTCGAAGTACATCAAATCGCTTACACAATGCCAACACCACATAATGCACATGTTGGATGACCGCTGGCCGACAATGGCCGCGGAGCGTCATCGTGCTGCAAGGCAGCGGCGGCTGCTTGCATTTCCGCTTTATATTCCGGTCCTTGCAATGCCGGGCACACTGGCATAATGATGACGCGCGGATCGGCGGGCTCAGACGATGAAGGTTTTGCTGACTGTGCGAGGCTGGCCCGCTGTGCCGAGTTCGAGCATAACTTTTTTTCTTGCAAGTTTGTACCAATGGACTCATCCTGTGGTTGCTCCTCTTGTATGGGATGTTGATGTTTGTGAGATAGTGGTGTACGATGCTCATTGCCTCCGATGGCGTGGCTTTGAGTCCAATAGAAATTTGCCGGAGCCGGTGGTTCTGTTTGAATTCATTCGAATTTTGTTTATTAAAACAGAACTATTTTTATTATATAAGGTACAGTAAGTATGTGTCGACTAGTGAGGGACTCTTTTCAATGAAGTCCACTACGCTATTTCTTTATTCCAGATTTTTGTTCTGCTCTACCTATCTGTATCCTATTGAATAGATCTAACCAAGCTATGCTAACAATCACAACAATTACTTAAAGTAAAACATTCTTAAGAAAAATTAAAGGAACTAAATTTGGATTTGAGTAAATTCATTTAAATACTTTACATATGTATATACCTATAACCATACGATTTCATGCATATTATAATAAAAAAAGTTATTGTTAACAAGTTAGGAAGGGCTAGGTTCGGGTGTTACCGAACATTTCATACTCTTGTAACTGGCATTACGTATTGTATATATGGAAGATAGGGGAAGTATTGACCTGGTTTTATCTATTTTCGGCTTTACAACATATTATTAACAGAAAAATATGCTCTTTGAGTTTCATTAAGGTACCTCACTTACCATCCAATATATGTGGAGTAAAGGTCGGCCGGATGTTTCAAAGTTCTAAATATCAGTTATTTAGGGGTTAAGGCAAGTTTTCACTCAATTTTAACCATTTTAGGAACAAAGATACACCATTATTAGAAAAAACCGGTCACTCAATTTTATTAAGATAACTCACATATTGGTGATATTTGCGGAATAAAGTCAGCCAGAAGTTCGAAAATCTTTATATTAGGTATATGGGGGCTAAAGGAAGTATTGATCCAGTTCAATCCATGTTTAACATACAAGCATAATATTATCAGGAAAAGACTTTTTTCGAATTTAATTATGTATTTCACATATTGAGCAACATATCCATATATTCGGCAGCTGGGGCTTGACCAGTTGTAGCTCGATTGTGACAATTTTGAGCCATAACGTGCACACCTCAAAAGCACTATTTGTGCAAAGTTTTATACGGATGCTTTGATTAGTACTTGAATTTTATACTAGAAAGTGAAAAATTCAGATGGAATTTATAATTGTGTTATATAAGAAGTAAGCGTGGTTTTTGTCCAATTTAGCTCATTTTCACACTGTAATGTAAGAAGGTACTACCTGCCGAAATCAGTCTAGTAGGTCCCGAGATATGGGTTTTGACCTATATGTGGGCGGTGCCACTCCCGTTGTCTTAACTTGACATTGGTTCCTCCAAAGCCCTTTTGTATAAACTTAGGTGTAGAATTTAATGTCACTGGCCCATTTAGTTATTGATTTTTCGCGCTTTTAGTAGATTTTAACAAATCTGTTATATGGGGAAAGGACGGGGTTATTATCCGATTCTATCCAGTTTTACACTGTCGTGTTCTTATAGGATTTGTCCTTAGCGAATTCGGTTATTGTAGCTTTAGTGGTTTAGGAGATATGTAACATACATTAAACCTATTAGGGGACGGGGCCACGCCCAAAGTTTTTATATCAGAGGTTCCCCTTGTTATTGTTATCCCTATACCGAATTACAGGTTAATATCTTAACTAAGTGCTTAGTTATGGCATTTTAAAGGTTTTCGTGAATGGCGTTTTGTGAGCGTGACAGTGGTCCGTCTACGAACTTATTCTCGCTTTTTTGCCAAGGAACACGTGTACCAAGTTGCATTACGATATCTCAATTTTTAATGCGTCGAAAGTTTTTGTTTGTTTTTGGCACATACATATGTATATATACTTTTAATAATATTAGTTGCATGCATAAAAGCATACAAATTTAGTTTTGTGTTTACCGGCAATTTAGCTGTTACAGAGATATGTAAGTATGTGTATGTAATGCATCAATCACAATTATAATCTAAAATTTTTTAAATCAAGCCTTGGAGCCAGTTATAAAAATATTTAAAAGTAATTATTTTATTTATTTTTTAATCCGTTTTTCACATACAAAATTTTTTTGATGCTGATAACTTGTAACGTTAATAGCTTCAAGCACTATCAAATATATGGGTGTATAAGTATATTCTGTATTATATATAGAAAAGTACAAATATACATATGTACATACATACATACTTGTAAGTATATAGAGCAAAGGAATTGAAGTATATATGTCTATGACTTACGTTATGAGGCGTTCACATTCGTGACAAATATTTTGGCCTGTCGGTAAACCACCAGTGCTTGGGGGTTTTGGCGAATTTACCGGAGCGCTTACGTGCCTGGTGGCAGATGGCTGCTGATAGTGTTGTTGTGATGGTTGCTGATAATGTTGATGATGCTGTGCCTGTGGCTGGTATTGTTGTTGGTGTTGTTGGTGTTGCTGTTGGTGGTCTTGGTGAAACACTGTGTTTTTGTTTTATTTATTTACGAATAGTGGTTGATAATGGGGCGTTGGTTTGGCAGTTTGAAATCAGGCAAGTTTAAGTAAAAACGTGAAACAAAAAATATAAAATATAACATAAATAATACAGATGCAACGAATAAAAAGAGTTCTAGTTAGTTACGTCCGAAAGGTCAGCAAACACAAACAGTCTCAAATCCCTTCATTGATTTAATGCAGAAAAAACAATGCAAAATAAAGCTGTCTTACTATGTGAATATATTTCATGAAACCTACATAATCTAACATAATATAAGGAATGCAAAGCTGAATGTCGTATTCCCCTACCCTAAGTAGGATAATTGTATTTTTGTTCTGCTTATTATAAATAAATAAAAATATCATCAGATAAAAACAATATTTATCAAATAGATATACATATGCATATATACAAAATATGCCATGTATAAATATATACCATATATCAGTATTGAAATTGAGATACATATATATTTAAATACCCGTTTCTAATAGAGTCGTACCTTTTTAAGGTAATGCTCATGGTACAGAAGAGTTTCAAGGTCGAACGAATCAGTTTTTAAAAATGGATTCAGAATTAAATAGTGCACATATGTGACTTTGCTTAACATTTTTTTTTGGCACAAGCCTTTCAATTATGGAATTTATATCAAGTAACCTCTATTCACACCAAAATTAATCCTCCACATTTTACACCAACGACTTTTATATTTTTATTTAATCCTGTAAGCTATCAGCTAAAAATATATGTTCACCGTTGTTCAAAATGTGTAGAATGTGAGCTAAAGCGAAATAGTGTGCAAACGAGTCGTTACCTGGAGTCGATGCGCCAGTTTCTTCTTCGCGCAAGAACTTTAGTACTTCCGACTTGTCAGGTTGGTACTCCTTTTCATTTTTTTTAAAGTTGACACTGAAAAATGAAGTAGAAGGCAATATAAATATTTATTTGAAATGTATGCATATATCTATACAAATTATATAAGGATATACATATGTATATAAATGATGAGCCAGACAAGCTGAGTCGAGTAAGTCTGTATAGATTATTTATTTCAAAACACGGATGCAAACCGTTGGCCGATTACGCTTTTAGATTTGGTTTAATGGTATATTAAAGATTTGATGTAGCCGAAGTTTATTCTTGTTTTATATATTCTGCGGTGATAGTTAATTTCTATAGTAAGCGCTACCGTTGCTGTACTTTCTTTTTGTTATAATATAAGTGTTTTATAAAAAAAAGTAACAAACGTTGTGCTTATTATAAAAAGTTGGCCTTGTACCAACAACTAGGGTTCACTATCTTTTTCTAATGCTTAAAGCTTTTAATTTACATTTTCGATGCACAGCATAGTCGTACTTTATTTTGCAGTGCTAATCACTATGCTTTCACAAAGCTTAAATGTGCAATTTTCAGAAAATACTCGAATATACTTACCCAAGGACGCCGCCTGCCAGGACCTCAGCTTGAGCCGAAAGAGTTTCCGCAATAGATTCATCGCTGTAAATGCCAACTGGCGTGTTATATTGTTTATTGACGATACTTTTGACGTTACCGTCTCCGCCATTGACCTGAATATGAATTGAATACAGAAATGTAGTGCAACTCCATAGAGAATTTCGTGGCGAAAGTGATAATGAAACACGATATGATAATTGCGGGACGGTAATAAAAAAACGATTCAACAGAGACGATTATTATGTTGGTGTACAAGGGAGAAGATTTTTTTTATTAGTTTGCAAAGAATTGGATTTTCGTGAAAGAACTCTCCAGAGAGGATGAAATTTAATTTACCGCATGAATTCCAAAACATTATCATAGATCACCTTGTGGACGTCCTTATGTATGTACATATAGTTTTCACTTTAATACCTCGATAGTACGGCACAGCGGTGAGAAACTAGCTATTGGTAACCTTTAGTTTTTTTTTCTGTATATATTTATGTATTTACGTGTATGCATACCTTTATATGCTTGCAGAAGTATATGCTTGTTTTAATATGTATTTCTATTCGTCCTTTGTCAATTTGTCTTACATACAATCATAGGAGGATAGTTAATAATGTGGGAGCTGAATTTAAGCACTCAGCTAATTTAATTTTGTTTAATTTTATAATTGTCTTAAGTTTTCTAGTTTTTATTCAATTTTTTGAATGTGTTATAAAAGTTGTGACTAACAAAACGACTTCTCTTATTCTTTCTTTTATTTTTACCACATATCTGGTGTTAGTGACGTATCTAAGGTATAAACAATACGGTCTTAGATTTGTTACCATATACATACACACTATACTTTAATAATAATATTTAAAGATATATTGACACCTGCGTGTAGCACAAAAATTCGGAGACCAAATGCACATATCAGTATTTCTCAAAGTAGATACATATGTACATATATGATTCACGTACATTTTTTACATACATAGCGTCTACCAATAGGGATGGCGTGATTTTGACAGCTCGTTCCAGCCATGTTTGTTTACGGATTTGTGGCACATTTTGTCAGTGTATTCAGTAAGGTTTGTCATTTCAATATGTAACGTTTCACTTTGTTACAACGCTTGGAAATTCTCCAAGATCATTACGCAAATTGACGTTCTCGGAAAAATTTACAAACTCATGTTTATCGAAAAATCATCTTCTTAGATGAGGCTCATTTCTGGCTCATCAGTCAAATCCTCGTGTGGTTTAGACAACGCAAGCGCAAACCAAAAAATTTACCGTTTGGTGCGGATTGTGGTATGGTGGCATCATCGATTTTCGATTCGAGATATGGCCCAGTCAAATAGCGATATTAAATCAAAGGTTTACGCCAATAAACCAGCAACGCTCGAGGATATAGTCGAATTTCCAACCAATATGCTGCACCGGGTCGTCGAAAATTAAAGTAAACTTGTGGAGATATGCAAACTAAGCTCTGGCGACCTCTTGGCCGACATTTGGTTCATATTATAAATGGAATAAAATTATCTGCATAACAAAAAAACAGAACCTATTTTGACCAAATTTGAGTGTTTCATTCCATTTTAACATCACGTCGTTCTTGGTGGTAGACCCTTTATGTATACAATATACCAAAAGCTTGCACATGAGCATTCATGAGCGTTATCTGATGTGAAAAAACATCAAACAAATCCCATATGAGTAACCCTGTTGGTTATAGACGCAATTAACACTTATGGCCAATTTCACATAAAAAGTTTTCGACACGAAGCCAAGCAAAATGGTGGGCTACTCTCATCTTTTTACACTTCGCTAAGCAACAGTTGCCATTTTTATTAGAGAGAAACACTGAAAGCAAGGGTTCATTGTGGCATACCCTTTGTTTTCTTCGCTTCGTTGTTTTAGTATGAACTGTCGCGCAAAGCGAAGAAAGTTGTCGGTGAATGGGCCTTTAATCAACTTTGTCAGAAATGTCAGAGAGAAAAACCACATTAGTGATGACAAGTAAATTATGATTTACGACAATAGTATATTCATGGACATAAGTATACCTATACCCGATTACTTACAAATGGTCGAGCAGCGTTGTTGTAACCACAGCCAATGTGTTGCGAATCCTGTTGTTTGTGAGCCAGAGAAGTTTTCGTCACCGTTTGCAAATATGGAGAATTCTGCTGGGGCTGTGGGATGTTGCCGGTGGGTGTTACATGTGGTCGCCAAGTAGAGCCTCCTCTGATGAAAGAAATTAAATTAATAATATTAAGGTTCTATTACATATATCTTGAAACCAATTTGTTCGTACCTTTGCACAGTCAAAACAAAGTTGTTTCCAGAACGTACAACCACGTCCTGCGCATCTTTGTGCCGCAAATTGAAAACATCAACATCGTTGATCTTTAAAACAGCATCTCCCGGGATGAGCCCAGCCTTTTCCGCCAAACTGCCGCCATTTACCTGAGAGGCATTATTATAGTATTTGAGTGTATAAGAATTAAATTAATAATTGCATATTATATAAACGAATTAAAATTTTTACGTATGTATATCCTATTAAAATTTTAAGTTTGCTACTCCTTATGTACTCATACTTATGCATTTATATACTATGGTATCCCTACAAGAAACTGCTGATGGGTTCACCAATACACTCACATTTTTGATGTCAGTCGTAACGGACTTTTAAACAGAGCTATATTCGAATTATATTGCTTACATGTGTAAGAATGAAATAGCTGAATGCTTTAGTACTGTCACCAGAGAACTTAGAAGAAATAATTCAAATGGCATATCAGTATTCCCAGTTTGGCGTACATATTATATTCTCATCAATATTCGCCGGTTGGTTATGTTATGAGAGCGTATGTGTACATATTCACCGCTGTTATAAAAACGAGAAATGTTATTTTCAAAAAAAAAACAATTCCAGTAAACTTATTAAAATTGTACGGTCAAATAGGGATAGGAAAGTCGACTCTGACTTTGGTCAATAATCGATCTTTAACTTAAAATAATCGACTTTTTAGAATCGAGTTTGAATGCTTCAAGTCGATTAAAATCGATCCTCACTCGATGACTTCGACTTTTCTGTCAACAGTTATAGCATTCGATGGTAGTACAGTTTGTGTTGTTTTCATGCACCGACTCTCTTATATTTTTTTATACCTTATCGTTAAACTAACCTCTTTTTGATTGGACAAAAATAAACATCATCGCTGGTATCCTTGGTAACCGGTTTAAAAAAGCATAGTATAACATAACTGACGGAAATATAATTGTTTAATTTTTAAAAAAGTCGACTTTTAGCACTGATTAATCGACTTTAAGAGTCATAAAATTCCAAGTCGACTCTAAAATCGAAAGTCGACTTTTCGCGCGCTGTTAAAATCCCTACGGTCAAATCGTCGACCATAATATAAAATATCTTCTTTAAAGAGCGTCTAACTCAGATTTGATTTATTTTCCAGTTTAACAAAGAAAATAAAGGACATTTTTGAGAACATCGTATAACACAATTATTTCACCGAAAGTGATACATTTCAAATAATACAGATAATTAAGCTCACTTTATTTTAAGATAAAGAGACACAACTTCGCAGAATACAACAGAAAATTTACAATTTATTTCAGCAATAACGACACAACTACAAATAGCACTCCTTAGTTAACGTAATCAACACAAGATAGGATAATGAAATTTCTTGGGTAGGTAGATATGTGTATTAAGATATGATATACATATTGAAAAAAAAATTTTTTTGAACATTTTTGAGATATGACTATTTTACAGTTAGTTTGCGATATGACCAAAATATGTAGAGTTTTTTAGTTTCAAGCAAGAGGATATAAAAACGATTGATTAAAAAATTAATAAACTCTGCCTGACCCCAAACCCAATTATAACTGCAATTTTTAAATATAAAATATTTCATATACATACATACAGTTACGGACGTGAGAACTTGCTACCCTCAGACAGCGGCAAAACGTATTGTAATCAGACAAAAGCAAATTCAATTTTGTGGAAAATGATGAGAAAACCATTGTAAAACATTCAAAACTAATTTACTATATATTTAAGAAAAAAAGAACAAACACCTTAACGTCCAAATACTTGAAGAAATTATTCCACATTTCTAAGTGGGAAATGCTTTCAAGATGGGTACAGTGGCAAGACAATTGATATTATGGATTGGCCTGCGTAATCTTCAGACTTAAATCCCATAGGAAATTTGTGGAAAGTATTCAAGGAATGCAAAGATCCAATGAAAACTAAAAAACAAAGGCTAGAATATGGGAAAAGGTAATGTCTACATTGTACCGGATTCCGCAAAAGAGGTATATTAAGTTTTCCAAGAGGTTTGTAACACCTAGAAGGAAACGTCGGAGATCCTATTTGTCTGTATGTCTGTCTGTCTGTATATATACAAACTAGTTCCTCAGTTTTTAAACTATCGATCTGAAATTTTGCACCTGTCCTTTTCTCACAAAGAAGCTGCTCATTTGTCGGAACGGCCGATATCGAGCTACCATAGCATATAGCTGCCATACAAACTCGGAGGTATCTTCACGAAACTTGGCATGGATTATTATTTAAGGCAATAATCTAATCGCCGAAGAAATTGTATAGATCGGATGACTATGGCATATAGCTGCGATATTAAATAAACGATCGGAGTAAAGCGCTTGCATGGAAAATTTGTTTATTTGACGAGTTATCTTCACGAAATTGGGCACGGGTTATCGCTTAAGGCAACAAATTATTCTCCGCAGAATTTGGTCATATCAGATCAATATATCATATGGCTGCCATACAAATGGAACGTTCGGAATCAAGTTCTTGTAAGGGGCGTTTGTATTTGTGAAGGATATTAATATTAAGGTTGCACCGAAGTTAACGTTTTTTCTTGTTTTATTATAATTTAAGATTTCTTTTAAATTTGCAATGAAGACTAAGTTAAAATATAGTATTATTTTTAGTTGCTTTTTATCGGCCTTTGTAAAATCTAAATAGGGGACTCAAGATATCTTTTTTAGAACGATCTCACTGTGGTAATGTTACGCATACATTTCTTTGAAATTTGTTGAAAAGTTTCTCCTATATAAGATGTCATCCATTCCCATTATCCCATTGACCTGATGCGATAGTATAAAACAACTAATTCCTTTGATTAACTGGTTAATTCAATTTAACATTAATTCGGTCAGTTTTTTTCAGTCCCAGAAAACTTGTACACTTCTCTGGCAACCATGCAAAAGCGTTAATCTAGAAAGTTTCATTTCGATTCTGAATCGAATGAATTTTATTATAAAGTGCACCAAATGTTTATGAAGATCATCAAGTTTTGCAATCCGTAAATAATTTTGAATTAGTATCTCGACAACTCTGACCTCGAGTCATTTTTTTTAAAGGTATTGGATAAATTAATATTTCACTTAGCATCGTTTAGTACAAAAGTTTACTTTGCCGCATGGATGTAAAACATTTATCGAAATCATGCAAAACTAGCTGGCATACTTATATGTAATTATTGCCTGAACAGGGTATATTAAGTTTGCCAGGAAATTTGTAACAACCCAGAAGAAAGCGTCGGAGAGCCTAAGAGGCTGACGTGACGAGCTGAGTTGTTTTAGTTATGTCTCTCCCTCTCTCTGTATATACGCGAACTATTCCCTCAGTTTTTAAAGTAACGAACTCAAATTTTGCATATTCGCTATTCTTCCCAAGAAGCTGCTTATTTGTCGGAATCGCCGATATCGGATCACTATAGCATATGGCAGCGATACAAACCGACCATCAAAATCAAGTTCTTGTATGCAAAACTGTTTTTGATTTAAGAAGGGTACTGTGTGCAACCAAAGTTAAAGCCTTTTTTTGTTCATTAGCAAAATTAATCAATTGAGCAGCTGATCCATTTATTGCATAAAATCGACAAAGGTAGAAATTAATACAAAACTAATTATGAGCATACGATTTTATATTTAAGGAAAGCACTTATTTCTTTCTGTTAACTATATATATGTATACATAAGTATATAAATATCATTTTAATTCATAATAAATTCTTGAAACAACCAGCACGATGTTTAATTGGTAAATTTATTGCTAGCCCCGAAAAAAAAGATAAGGGAAAATCACATAAGCAGCAAACAAGACAAAACAGATGATAAAATCTGGAGAAGCTGTTTTCTCCGAATAGCATAAGTAAACGATAAATTGCTGTGTAGTTAATTTTTTTAGAATACATAAACAACACAATGTTGAAGTTTGTTGTAAAAATAGATACATTGCAACTGTAGATCTGAATGTTAGAATATTGATAATATAAGATAAGTAGACAATTCTTAATATCGTCACGCTATGGCTGAACAATCGGACTCCCTGCACGTTCGATTCCAGGTAACTAGTAACTTCCGCAAGTGTTGTATTCGATATTATGTACGACCCCGAACAATTTGGGATTATAAACTAAAAATTAAATTTTTTAATTTGAATGAAGTACTCAAACGCGAAAAAATATTTATTTAAAAATAATTTCTATTTGTTATTTCTTCTTTATATTATTAAAATTTTTCTCTTCTATTTTTCAATACGGTGGTTGGGATTAAAAATGACAAGTAAATTTAAATTCGGTATGTGGGATTAGACTGTTTTTTAATGTTAATTCAAATTAATTCAAATGTTAATTCAATCATTATCAAACCATGTTGACGAGTATATACAACAAGTGTTTATTCTGACAATTAATGAAACTTCGTGGATTGATGTAATAAAGGTCCACTACCAACGAAATATTGCCGTCAGCATAGGGGCATTACGTACACTTGAAGATATGGTACTGCTTACCAGCAAACTGGTCACAGTTAATAACTTATATCAAATAAAAAGGACTGCAGTTCAAAGTTTTATTTTTATTTTTTCGGGGCTCATTGGTTAATGACGCGTAAATGTGCATTGTTCCGATACTCCTTAGCGCGTTCTAAAGTTGAATATACCATATGTGTGTATTACCAAAATAACTACGCCTTAATATTTAGTTAATAAAACACTAATATACCCAAAAAATATTACTATTTAATATTATATATAAAAAACATTATTCTATAAGTTTCTTTTTAAGTCAGTATAAATTAAAAAATCAATACGAAGACGTAAATGCCTATTTCCTGTAAAACACAAATAAAAATTATTAATTTATTAAAAAATAATATAAACGCACCATATTTATTAATAAAACTTACCAAACAATGTTTTTCCTTAGATAAGATTGATTGACGGATTCTCTTTGGTTAAATTTTCAACAATTTTTATTTTAATTTCTTAGTCACAAACAGCTATTTCATCTGCTATATACGATATATGGTAGACTTATTTCTGTTAAGCACCTTTCAAGATCTTTGTATCGATTTGTTCATAAGTCTTCATTGACTTCAAAAAGCACATATCCTGAGAAAGTGTTTTTAGGGCTAAAATACATTGGAGCCATGGCTTAAAGTGCGATGTCACGATGAACGAATATCGAACTTATCCTTGTTTGTAATATTAAGTTAAGTACTGGAAAGTGTTATTTTCAGTATAAAAGTTATATTTCTATTATCTTTAAACTTTTATTGTTCCTTTATTCGGTAGCGACGGTGTTGTCGACTACCACGAACTATTTAAATAATAGTTATTTATTTATTATCGCTACTTTTACTATAAGTAGTTTGAATACTTATGTGCGTTGTGATTGGTAGCGACGGTGTTGTCGACTACCCACTAACTATTTAAATAATATTTCCGATTATGCGATAGCGACGGTGTTGTCGACTACCACGGAATGATGTTATTTTAAATAAGCACAAGTTGAGTTCCGTTCTTAAACTGTTTTATTAAAATAACATTTCTCTTATTTATAATCTACTATTACTATCGCCGCTACTGCCATTGACGCTGCTTTTCTAAGTTTCTGCTGACGCCTAAGCTTGTGTAAGGCATTGCGTTACATCCGCCGGTCACACGGTCGGTGGCTACTGCAAGGTGTTGAATTGCGGCTGTCGGTCATTCAGAAATCCAAACTGCATAGGTTGCAATTTTGGCAGTTCAAGAGACTGACTTAATTAACTATTGTTAACTTATACAAATCGCCCCCGTCGTCCATCTGGCTTGGTACATGGTACCTGAAAGTCTATTGTTAAATTATATCACTGACAGCTCAATTAATACTCCATAGTCATCTTGGACTATACATTTGAGCAATTCAGATTAGTAGAATTTGATCATGTTTTCTATTTCGGAAACAGCCAATTGCCAGAAGATAAAATTTATAGAACTTGACTGATATTTGATTCGAATACGCTTTTTAATATTAACTTATACATTTGATAGTGGCAGGCAAAAGTTAACAATTCTTCGCGTTCCAAACCGCCTTTGCCTGTTGTCTTCCTGATGAGTTTTCTGATATTTGCACAGCTAAAGCAGACAATAATTACATAATAAACCGTCATAAACTTTTGCATCGCATTTTGAAAATCATTTTTAATGGATTCCCGTTTTTCTGTGCGAATTCTTTGAATTGAGGACTTACTAATGGGAAATTCAGTAGTAGTTTCTAAAACAATTACAGTATCCCCCATACTTAAGTGACACCTGCCCAGCAACCATGAAGGCTTTCCGCGTTGATATTTTTGTTGTTTTGTGTTGCAAGCACCCGACTTGAATTGACCAATCTTCTTTTTACGATATTGTGCCCGTATCAGATGAGTCTTCTTGTATGATGATGTCGATGGAGTTGACCTTGCGATTTATTTAGATCACCGTTTCTTTTCCTCATTAGTTCTCAGGAGCGCCCTTTTTTCTTTATCGGTTTCTTTTTTGTCCACTTCACCCGGTCGACCTGGCTCCCGTAGTAGTTGCATAAAAAACTTATCTGAATTTGTTTTACTTAATTGAAGTGTATTGGCGGGGCAATCCCTTCAAATTCAATATAAATTCACAAGTTTCTTTACACAATTAGGAAAATTTTTTGTAAGTATAGGATCTTTTTCCTTATATATAATGCACTCGAGAATACTGACATTTACAGTGATAAAACTTGTTTATTAAAAGAAAGTTTTAATCCAGTTATTTAGTGTTTCGCAGTACCTATTAAAAATATATATTTTTTAAGACTGCGCAGTTTCACTGACATGTTTATCGAACAAAAAATATGTGTTTAATGTATAAGAAACACAAATTATAACATTTTTTGTTTATTTATTTGTTTTTAAAATTGTGCCTAGTATATAACAATAAAATACTAACAAACAATTATTTTCTAATTATTTATTGCTACTGTTCCCTTGCTAGGGAACCACCGAATTCACGCTTAGATGACGGTATATAAAAACAAAACACTAACAAACAATTATTTTCTAATTATTTGCTGCTACTCTTCCCTTGCTAGGTCGGAAAGTTTCTTGCGTTTTAATCGGATTTCTCGCCCTGCTGTTTCGATGAGTCTGGAAGCCTCCTCATTAACATGCTGTCCAAGCCTAAGTTCTTGAGACTTTGCAATTGTGATTATTTCCTTTACCACTGAATTCACGCCTAGATCAAGGTGTAAGTCAGCAAATCCAATGTACCAAGGAGCATTAACAAAAGTCAATAGGCAATAGAGCTTTGACTTCTACAATCCCATAGTTGGGCTCCGTAGGCCCAAACTAGCTTTAGAGCTTGATTGTATATTAACAACTTGTTTTGGGTGGTAAAGTTCAGCAAATTTCATATCAAGCTCACTCCTTATTTTTTACATGCTCTTTCCAGGGAAGCTTAGCATCTAAGGTGATACCTAGGTACTTAGCACTGTTATGATATGGTATATGAATATTATTTATATAAATTGAACGATATGCCGATTTTTTCAATGTAAAGTCGACGTGAACTGTTTTGGAGTCGTTTAATTTGATGCGCCATTTAGATGCGCCATTCGTAATTGCATTGACTGCTGTCTACACTCATGGAGTAGATACTGAGGTTAATTCTCCAGCTGCTAATAATGCGGTGTCATCCTCTAATGTCGCTGTTACATAACTTCAGTTGGAATGTTACTGGTAAAAACCAAATAAAGCATTGGCCGCAATACGCTTCCCTGGGGAGCATTCGCTTCTATCGGTTGCAAGTTAGAGTATTAATCCTATTATCCTCATTAGGGAGGGGCATCTGCAGTTTAAATTTAGTGGTCCCGCCCCATAATAGGTTTAATGTGCATATCTCCTAAACCGCTAAAGCTATAATAACAAAATTCATTGGAAGCAAATGTTTTCAGCACTACCTACAGTGTGAAAATGGGTGAAATCGGGTGACAACACCGCCCACTCCCAGTAAAACCGTACTGTTAAAAACTAATAAAAGCGTGATAAGTCAAGCACTAAATACGCCAGTCATTAAATCTTATCTCTGAGATGGCATGAGATGACTTTATAGGAATCGCGTTCAAAATTAGACAGTGGCCGTGGCACCGCCTACTTTTAGCACTATATGGGTGAAAACCCATATCTTGTAGCTTGAAGGATGAGAATCGCCGCAGTTACAACAATTAGCAGGATCTTTTTCAGCTTTGCTGCATTCAATAGTTGAAGGTTTGTCTCCACATTTCACACACCTCGGTGATTTACCGCAGAAGTTTTTTGTATGTCCAAAAGCTTAACAGTTTTTGCACTGTGGAAATAATTAAGATGCTTTAATAGGCTCAACTTTGACAACGGTACTAGGAATGATTTTGATCTGATGGATTTTCCTAATGTCTTCGGTAACTTTGAATACTACTAAAAACATATCTAGCGGTTCTTTAGTCTTCCATATAAGTTTATTAATTGCATTTAAGACAGTAAAGCCTTGAGCTTTTAAATCGTTTAAGATGGACTGTGCATCACCTGTGTGGTGTAGATTTTTTATCATTACCATTATTTGCCTATTATGTTTATTCTCGTAGCTAAACCAATGTACATTATTATTTGACAAGAATTTTGTTGTTCTGCGATAATAATATAAGATTTCATTAAGTTGTAGGCGCCGTTACTCAAGTAGTTCGCGTGTGCCAGCTGTAATAAGCAAGTATTGACAAGTTTCGATGCAAATCGGCACGGTTTATCGTAATCCTACCTACACCAAACTTAGTTTCCAATTGTTTCGATATGATTGAAACAAATTAAGAGGGTATGCGACACAAACAAGGAACTTTATTTTTTTTTTTGGGACACCCTAATGTATGTATATACACAGGATATTTTTGGTTTGCGAATACTAAAAGCGAAATATCTCGCTAAAATGCAACATATTTTTGAAAAATTTAAACAGACTCATTTGATTTATAAATGTAGATATGCATACTTATGTACATATGTATAAACGGCCGGTCCAGCAAATCGGCGGTCAAGACTATTAATAAAAGCCGTAAGCGAGACGTGCGCAAAATCACTCTATTACGTCTTCACAGCGACCTCCATCTTGACGGAGAAAAATTATTATTTAAATATACGCTAAAATGTTCAAAAAAAAAAATAAATATAGAAATAAACATACTAATACATCTACATTAATATTATATTTGTACATAAGTGTACAAATCGTGGAGATATTATATGTATTTACATAATTAAACGTTTTTTGTACAAACCTTCTGCACAACCAGTGGTGTGGAAAAATCTACACCACCTTGCAATCGAAAGCCCCAAGGTTGGGCGTCGAAACGCGACAACTTGATTTGTAGTAACTGGGGCTGAGCCATTTTTCTTCCTCTTTCCTTGCAGTTTTATCTGTAATGAAAGAGAAAAGAAAATTTTATTCATGAACTTAAAAATTAATACAATAGCGAAATAAATAGTACAACAAACCAAAAATATTCAACGACGAGTTTTTCGAAAACAAAATAATAAAATTAGCCAAGGTTAAAATAAAAATTCAGGTTTTCTGTTCATGTTTGTGGGAATATATACTAAACTGACTTTGTCCTCATTTAATTTTAGGGTCAATGTTTAAAATCAAAATACAAAAATGCATAACATTTAATTGTAGAAAATGCAAACTCATTTTTTGTGCCATTTTATAGACCATGGGCATTTAATATCGTTAACATATTGATCGATGGGAAGTTTTATCAAGTTACATCAAGTGTTATAAAAACAAATCAAATCGAACTTAAAAATTGTTCAATTATCGTAAGTAATAAAGATAGAAATTATGTATATACAATCAACTTTATACATGCGGGCAATGTGTAGTGTTTTAATACTTCTGGCCCCATTGCCATACACTTAAAGTAATTTTATTATATCAGGAAATTTAAGCACTTTCATATTAGTTCGTATACGTATTTTCCCATTTTTATTCGCCGAACAGGATATATGAGGTTTTCTACGAAGTTTGTAACACCCAAAAGGAACCGTCGGAGACCCTATAAAATATATACATACATACCATGACCAACTGAGTTGATTTAGCCATGTCCTTCTGTCTGTATATATGCGAACTATTCCCTTAGTTTTTGAGATATCTATCTGAAAGTTTGCATACAATCTTTGTTATTCAATAAGTTCATTTGTCGGAACTGCCGATATTGGACCACTATAGCATATAGCTGCCATACAAACTGAACGTTCGGAATCAAGTACTTGTATAGAAAGGCTTTTAATTTGACGATATATCTTCACGAAATTTGGCATCGATTATATATTTAAGCAAATGGTAATAAGTGGTATCTCAGGAGAAATTGTTTAGATCGACTATAGCATATGGCTGTCATACAAACCGACTGATCAAAATCTTGTAAAGAATTATTTGCCGCGTCGGTATGAATTAAATCAATCCAAGCGTTTTAACCGAAGAAAGCTAATAAATATAATATATATTTTCAAACACACATACATACTTATATGGCACAAGTCTAAAATATATTTGATAATGGTTATGCATATGGAAATTTCGTTATTATTTATTTTTGATAATTTTAATGACACGATATCAATATATCAACTGGCCGGTAGACACTGGGCGTAACTTTACCCGAAACTTTAAATGCGTTTTACTCGAAATAGTTAGTTTCAAAAAGTCTTAAGTTTGAAATTCAACAAATAACATTTTTTTTCTAATTCTAAAAGAATCAGTGAAGTCCAAAAATATAGTGTAAAAAATTATCATCCGCAATTTAGCGAACATTTTATTTATTTATTTTTTCGTTTCAGATCTCAGTCGTGACAGACTTGGCACGCCCATACTTCAACAGCTTGTAATAGTTTCCAGTTCTTTTATGTATTGCTAAAATATGAATGAATACCTTGTTAATAGATAGTAAAAATAGTTTTTTTTTATAAATAGCACCAGAAAAAACACCTCAACGTTATATATATTTCACACTTCTTACATTTTTACAATTTGCGAGGGAGTTAAATATAATATAATTTGTTTACTTAACGGTTGTTTATATGACCTAAAAATATAATCGAGATAGATATAGGGTATACATATGTATGTATATATTGAGGAAAAATTCTTGATGAGACTTGGTACTATAAGAAAGGTGGTATTGTAGATGGGCAGGGTCGGACTATTGCTACGAATACAAAATTTCACTAATCTAAAATTTATAAAGACTAAGCCTTACATACATAACTTAAGATACATAACTGTAATTTGGTACAGGGGATCGCAATAGTTAGAGGCATCTGTGTGCTGAAAATTTTTAAAAAGTGAGCGCGATCCCGACCCCTAATCGGTTTAACGTACTTATTTCCTCCTTAGACAACGTGAAATCGGATTATAACCACGCCTACTTCCCATATAACAGTTGTGTTGAAAACTACTAGAACGTAGAGCTACGAGCGTTATTTTTGAGATTTTTTAGTGAATTTTACGAGTAATTCTAACTTTTGTTTAAAAAGATTTATTATGACTATTTTTAAGGAAGAGCGGGTATTTGTAACGAGTTTAATTTTTCTTAGCACTGTCAAATCTCAACGTATAAGCATATATTGATTAGAATACCCGAAAATATTATTTAAACTTTAACCTAATCTAACAAAATATCAAAAAATTGATTTTATTTATTAAATATATTGTAGATATAATTAGTCCAGGAAAAGAAGTAATGATCATGTTTAGGTTGTTTAAAACATGTAAGTATTTTGGAAAATTCAAATGTTAGCAAGACGTGCCCTGGAAGTCTACGTGTAATATAAGAAAAATTAATTATTTGATAGCATAAAATAGACCTACATATATTTTATTAGATATTCTTGGTTCGGTTATTTATTATCTATTTTATTGTACTCTGTGTATCTCTGCAAGCCGTTTCGTATCTCAAATTACAACTATTAAATTTTATATTTGTTAATTTCTCTACAAAACTCGAAAATAGTAAAGTAAATAGTTCTTAATTCAAACCGGAGCTTTCGCAATTTTTATTTTGTTTTTGTTTGCGCATTTTTGGCATACAAAACAAAAATTGGTAACATTGTTTTTTTTTAAAGAATTACATTTACTTCTTCTAGAAATGTCTAAAATCGTCCATTGGTACTATAGAGCACATAGTGAAAACATCAGGATGGACTATTCCAAATGTTTTACCCACATACATAGGACATGAGCGCCATAAATGCTCAAGGTACAAGAAAAGTGTATTAATAGCAACATTTATGCTGAGTTTACTTTTTTATACTATCGCAACCTGTTGCTACAGAGTATAACAGTTTTGTTCACCTAACGGTTGTTTGTATCACCTAAAACTAATCGAGTTAGATATAGGGTTATATATATATAAATAATCAGGATGAAGAGACGAGTTGAAATCCGGGTGACTGTCTGTCTAACTTGAGTAAAAATTGAGATATCTTTATGAAACTTGGTAGACATGTTTCTTGGTACCGTGAGACGGTTGGTGTTGCCGATGGGCGTAATCGGACCACTGCCACGCCTACAAAACGCCATTAATCAAAAACAAATAAATTGCCATAACTAAGCTCCGCAATAAGATACAAGACTGCTATTTGGTACACAGGATCACATTAGGGAGGGCATCTGCATTTAGAATTTTTTTTTAAAGTGGGCGTGGTCCCGCCTCTAATAGGTTTAATGTGCATATCTCCTAAAGCGCTAATGCTATAATAACAAAATTCACTAGAAGCAAATTTTTTTAGCACTTCTATTGACGGTGTGAAATAGTTGAAATCGGGTGGCAACTCCGCCCACTCCCCATATAACGGTACTGTTAACACTACAATACTAAAAGCGCGATAAATCAAGCACTAAACACGCCAGAGACATTAAATTTTATTTCTGAGATGGTATAAATTGGCTTTATAGAAACCGCGTTCAAAATTAGTCAGTGGGCGTGGCACAGCCGACTTTTAGGTGAATACCCATATCTTGAGATCTGCTCAACCGATTTCAACCAAATTCGGTGCATAACGTTCTTTTCATGTTTCTATGTCATAGTGCGAAAATGGGCGAAATCGGACTACAACCACGCTTACTTCCCATGTAACACCATTTTCAATTCCATCTGATTCTTTCACTTTCCACTATACAAATCAGGTAACAATGATTATATCGGGGTAAAACTTTGCGTGAATAATGTAATTAAAGTATGCCACCTTGCGGCCAAAAATTGTCTAAATCGAACCAAAACTGTTCAAACGCCTAGGTACTAACTATGTGGACCCCAGTGCCTATAGTTGACCTTCTACCGAAAATATCAGTCAATCCACAAAGAAATCTCAAACGAGTATACCATTTGACTTTGCGAGAGTATAAAATGTTCGGCTACATCCGAACTTAGCCCTTCCTTACTAGTTTTTATTAGAAAAATAATATGGTACACTGAAATCACGTGTAGATAATTTATTTTAAGCTGGTCTTTAAAAGTAATGCTATTGTATTGTTGTCAAAATCCGACGAAAGTAGGTTAGTGCTTGACAAGGTCTAATTACAAAATTGAATTAGATGTTGCGCAATAACTTTCCTCTATTTAGTGCGTACTTGTAGTTGAGGTTTGGCTTTACCTCTCAATCTGTCCGTCTGCATCTGACTGACACAATCGAAGTCAAGCATCGCAATATGTATTTGTACGTACTGTAAATTTGTATACAGGCATATGTACACACATAAACTTATTTATTTATAACTATATGCATTTGTACGTATGCATATAAGTACATATGTGCACCCACTTACATTAGAAGCACGAAATAACAATTAAAATCCAACCTACGTGAAATATTTGGGGCATCCCAGACAGGGGATATTGCGCAGACATTTGAAAATAAATATCATTGCGGAACGCAGATAGATGTTTTAAAATCGAACTGGAAATATATTTTACATTTTAATATTATGAGAGTGCAAGCGATGTCGGCTTCAGTACTCTTTATGATCGACAGTGGTACATAAATTATACAAGTTTTGTACATCTAACGCTTATTTGTACCACCTAAACCTTGGTATACAAGTAGAATAATGATGCGAACTGAAGGGTATAGAATATCATATGCGGTGAATCACGCCTATAAAGGACTTTTTAAGAACGAACGCAAAGTGTAATAACTCAGTCACCAAATAAGTTCCAGTTCTTTTAAGCCTCGCAAAAACTTAAAAGCACTTACATATATGCTACATATGTACTTATGTATGTAAGTATATTTTGAAGTAGTACTAAACTCGGCGATTCTAACTGAAATTTTACCATTAACATCTCGTACGACAAAACATTGCAAAAATACCAGTCTTATAACTAGATGATTTAAAGACAGGGGGTAGGTACATA